GCCCTGGCGGGTTTCTGGGCAGAGCCACAGTGTCTTCACGAGACCTAGAGAAGGACAAGGTAACTTCGTCCCCCAGAAAAGCAGCAGCCTGGCTGGGTTTGGGTTGGGAGAGAATGTGGGGGCTCTGTGGTCCTGATAGAGGAACCGTAGCCTGCCCCTGGCAGTGGGAGGCAGCCAACATGTCCCCAGAGAGGAAGCAGCAGCATGGTGGGAGACTGACTCTTCTATAAGGGCAGAGAGCTGCTGGGGCAGAAGCAGGCTCCTGAGATGGAGGGCAGGTCCTCAGCATCCTGAACCTGTATGCCCACCCACCCCACACACCCTCCGCCCTAGAACTCAATACGCCTGCGCCCAGCCGTGGTACAAGCTGCTGGTGGGACATCAAGAAGGATGGAGGTGGTGTTTTCCATAGAAGAAAGTTAAAGATAGGCTACACTTGGGTTTCTCTCACTGCTAAACGGATGGGCTACAGGAATACCTCACAGATACAAACGAGAACACTGAGAATCAGAAGGAACAAGAGCAGCCCCCTGCTGCCTGGATAGTGTGGTGAGGAGGCTGGGCCAGGACCAGTGTGTGATCCACCATGCCCAGCACTGCCTACCTTCAAAACCAGGAGCCTGAACGTCCGTCAAGGGAAGCTGGCCAAAGCCAAGCATGGTGGTGCACACATGTAATCCCAACTCTTAGGAGACTGAGGCAGGAGCATCACACGTTCAAGTACAGCCTAGGACACAAAACTGTAGGGGGAAAATGCTCTCAAAACTGTAGGAAAAAAAGGGAAGGGATTTGTCAAATAAATATGGATGATGGAAAAACAGAGAGAGACAGAAAGAGAGACAGAGAGAGAGCGTGCGTGAGCTGTTTGCATCAATATGAAGTAATGTCCAAGATAATGCTGAGCACAATTAAATGTGAAGGTGTTTATTTATTGTTTCTGGGGGGACCTGAGAAACCAGTGCAGAGAAAACTGGGCAGAACCAGGGAAAAAAGACATTTCCCATGGAACCTTCCATACTGTTGGACTTCAAATCAGCAGCATCATTGCCTAGTCAAAAAATAATAGGGTTTCAAAGAAGAGTGTGACAGAGACTCTCGCTGTTCAGCCCATTTGACTGTGATGAAGCAGCCGCTTTCTGAGGACCCAGGGGGGCCGGGCCCTTGGTGGGTGCCAACGGTTCTGCTCAATGGAGCCCTTTCACCCCAGGCCCCCAGCTCCCCCAGAGGGAAGGTGGGGTGGGTAGCCACAGGACTCCCACAGCCTCTCCCCATTAAGCTACCCCCAGTGGGAGGAGCCTCCACTGGTGAGGGACGAGGTCCATCCAGGGCCAGCCTCGCTGGGAGGTCTGAGCCTAAACCCCTCAGGTTCACCCTCCCGTGCTCAGGAGGGGCAGGAAGCCTGGAGAGAAAAGCCACAATCTGCCCTTTCTTCTGGCAGTGGTGCTCACTGCTTGTAACTATGGCAGCCACCCCTGGGAGGGGCAAAGGAACACTGAGCCCCTAGATGCATGGCAGTCTGGGTGGGCAGCTCCAGACTCTGGAAACACAGCTGAAACCCACTGAGCTGAGGTCGCTCCCCTCCCTGGCCTGGCCCCTTGCATCTGTCCCCAACCACACTGCCCAGGCCTCTTGCATGGGCTGGATTCTGCACGGCATTCACAGAGCATGTCTGTGTGTATCAAACCAAGAAGAAATGAATAACTCCCCCCAGTGATCCCTCAGCTGACTCCAAGGGTCTGCTGGGAGGGAGATGCCTTCCAAATACAAAGAGAGAAACTGAGGCTCAGACTTGCTTGCCAGGTAGCTAGCAAGTAGCAGGGTTGACCATTTTAACCCTGGAATTCTGATTCCCAGAGCTCCCACACTATTCACAACACTGTTGTAAAACATCTTAGAGGATGCTTAGAATAAACTTGTTTTGTACAAATGATAAACTGAGGTGTCAGAGAGGGAGAGAAACATCTCCAAAGTCACACGCAAGTAAGAGGCAAAGTCAGGTCTCAAGAGCTGGGCCTCTGTCCCGCTCTGGAGGGGCTGTATCATCGGTACGGGGAGGAGAAGACAGCGTCACTGATGTGACCGGGCCTGCTCCTGCACAGTGTACCCTCACATGCACACAACCTCCACTCTGAGCAGTTGCCTGAACCAGTGGCTGTGAACTCAAATGTCTTAAAGGGCCAGCAGGTACGTAGTGGAGTAGGGTCTAGGCCCTGACTCTAGGCCCTGACTTGGGGAGTAGCCAGTGTTGAAGGGGAAAGCATGAGCCCTGCCCAAAGGCATTCTAGACCAATACAAAGTACAAATGAGTGCCAGGAAATGGAAACATTTTTTTTGGAGGGGGAAGGGGGCAGCTATGACAGCGGGCACATGAATGGAGGGAGGAAGGGTGGATAAATGCAGTCACTACATTCAACGTACATTGTATAAAAATGGAATTACATAATATGAGAATAGGGGTGGGAGGGGGAAAGATAGGGAGAAGAAATGAAAAGGTGCCATGACGGATGCTTTATATTCATAATCTGACCTGTGGACCTGAAACTCCTCTGTATAACTACTTACTTTAAACATAACCAAAAAAATGCTTTAAAAATACAGTAACGTGGATGGGAATAAGCACAGAAGAAAGAAAACTGGCCCTGCAATAGTGACTGTTAAAGCTGGGTGTCAGGTAATAAGACTAGAGCACACAGCTCAGTGGCAGAGCTCCTACTGAGCACGTGGAAGGCCCTAGGTTTAATTCCCAGCATGGAAGGAAGGAAGGAAGGAGGGCAGGCAGGCAGGCAAGCCCAGAATGTGTACGTGCTTTTAAATAATTTTGGATTAGTGTGCCATCAAAAATTCTTGGGTGCTCAAGCCATGTCACATCCACAGGCCACCAATTAGCAGGCTGTACTCTAGACTTCCTGAATAGCCAATGGCTATTCCAACCCAACTGTGTCTGGTGGGAGGAGAGGAGCCGGCCGGGAAAGGCTGGGAAGTGCTTTCCCATCATGCCCAGGGGCATAGGCTCCTGTAAAGGGATGTAGGAGACACAGGCTGCCTGTCCCTCACTGAACTGTGCTCACTTCTTTTGCACAAAATGTGGGGTACTCAATATGGGGAATAAAAGCACGGCTTCTATTTCCCCTTTTCCTTTCCTTGAGTTGATTACCTAAGGAACTGGCCACAATCCCTTTCCTAAATCATGTGTCCTCCCAGTTCATTCATTCATTCATTCATTCATCCTTACCTTGTTTTTTGTGTGTGTGTAAGTACTGGGGCTTGAACTCAAGGCCTTGTACTCTCACGTGCTTGCTTGTTTGTTTTCACTCAAAGCCAGTGGTCTACTTCTTAAGCCATACCTCCACTTCTAACTTTATTTTGGCCAGTTGTGGGGGCTTGAACTCAGGGCCTGGGCGTGGCCTCTAGGCTCTTTTGTTCAAGGCTAGTGCTCTACCACTTTGAGCCACTGCACCACTTCTGGTTTTCTGGGGGTTAATTGGCAATGAGTTTCATGGGGACTTTTCTGCCTCATCTGGCATTGAACTGCAGTATTCAGAGCTCAGTCTTCTGAGAAGCGAGGATTAAGGAGTGAGCCACCGGTGCCCAGCCCCTTCCAACTTTTTATTAGTTAATTGAAGATAAAAGTCCCACAAACTTCTCGGTCTAGATTGGCTTTGAATCAGAATCCCCTCAGATCTCAGCCTCCTGACTAACTAGGATTACAATCATGAGCCGTCAACACCTGGCTCACTCTTACTTTGATAGTACTTGGGTTTGAATGCAAGGCTTCACAAGCAACTTGCTTGGGCAGTTGCTCTACAACTTGAGCCAGGCCCCCAGTCCTTTTTGCTTTAGTTATTTTTCTAATAGGGTCTTGGGTTGCTAATGTCAGCCTGGACTGTGATCCTCCTATACTCAGGCTGACCACATAGCTCAGATCGCAGGTGTAGGCATCATGCTGTCTGGTTGTAATGACATTGTATTCGTGATGTCCTGCATTTTTCTGTGAGATCCACACCAAGATTGCATAGCTATGAGCAGCAGAGACAGGCAGAGGGCCGCTACGCCTCCCCCCCTCCCCACTTCTATGCTCTTCCTTCTTCCCATCATTGGGTTCTGCAACTCTCTGTGAACCTAATCACAGAGAATTTCACTGAGGGTCTAAGTAGTCAGGAAGTTTTGTTAGGCTGCAGCCTAACCCCTAGCGCATGATGGCTTCATGACCAAGGCCATGGTGACACTCAGATGAGTTTTCTGGGAACTGGCATGCACTGAGGAATCTGGATTCACCATCAGTTTGTGTGAGCACCATACAGTCCCAAATCCCACCTGATACAAAGAAGCTGGAAGAAGATCCGACATTGTCCACATGACCTATAGACAGTGACTTTAGATCTTGCATTCCATCTCAATTCTGCTTTAACTTAGCTGAGTGACCTCAGGCCACACTTTTCTCTTCCCAGTCTTCAGAGCGGCCTTCTGGCCACCAAAACAGTTATCTCTCAGGGCAGCTCACAGTACAGTGAGACTCCACTCCCTCAGCCAGGAAGAGCTGACTTTGCCTCTGCTCAGAGGAACAACCCGAACCCCGCACTGTGTTGGGAATTTAACTCCAATGAGTAACAAGTAACGGGCATCAGAGCAAGACATTTGTTTGGAGGAATTCAACCAGTCCTGGGCCCAGCGTCCCACCCTGGCCCGCACAGCGGCTGCTTTCCACGCCTGTTCTTCCCTTAATTTGGCTTGCGTCCCAAACATGGATCACACAGTCTCTCTCCAGAAACAGCAGCAGAAGGAAACGCTATTAAAAGTGAGTGCGTTCGTGGGTATGGCGTGTGGATGAGGTCTTTGGAGTTTTGGCTGCCAAATAAAGACTTTATTGTTGTCATTCCTTCTTTCCCAAGCTCCCTCCCTCTCTCCTCTCCTCCCTCCTCCTTCTCTTCTTCTCCCTCCCTTGCCATCTGCCCCTCCCTCCCCTAACCTAACCTCTCCAACCCAATAGGATCTGCTGGAAGAAAAGTCAGGCAAACAGCACGCACGCACCACTGGGAGATCAGAACTCAGAGCTGGCTCTCGGCTCTGAGGAAGAGAACTCTCGGTGGGGAGGAAGAGAGCTGCCCCAGAGCTCCAGGACGGGCAGGTGTGCACAGGTAAGCCCAGGCGTGGGGAGACGACAGGGAGATGGCAAAGACCCCTTTTCTCCAGGGTTTCCTCCAGTCCTGTCCAACCTTGCTTACTGATATAGTCTGCCTTCTTCTTGCCTCTTTTTCCTTCCTTCTTTCCTTCCTTCCCTTCCCTTTTTCCCTTCATCTCCTTTCTTCCTTCCTCCTTTCCTTTCCTTCTTTCCCTTCCTTCCCTTCCTGTCTCCCTCCCTTCCTTCCTCCTTTTTTTCTTTCCTTCCTTCCTTGCTTCCTCCTTTCTCCTTCCCCTCCTTCCTCTACCTCTCTTTCCCAAAGAGCTCAATTTTAATTTTCCTCATTTCTTGCCTACTCCCTTCTCCTCTCTGCACCACCCTTATATTGATTTGCTGCTAAAGTGAAACTTTCTTAGTACAGATGTTTGGGATAGTGCTGAGAAGCTATGTCGCACACAGAATTTCAGCAGAAAGCTCAGGTGTTGCCATAGAAACCAGGCCCTAAAACCCATTTCTCTGCACCTCTCATGTACCATCGCACGTTGTCAGAGACACACGCACGCACCGCATCTGGTGTCTCACCCTCTCCCAGGCCTCGCCAGCTGCAAGCGCAAAGGCAGAGTGTGTCTTTTCCCTAAGATGACAAGTCAGAGGAAGATCATGTGCTCTGAGTGGAGGCTGAGAGAGAGGAGATGAGCAAGAGCAGGCACTGGAAGGATTTCTTCATTCTTTCACGCTTAACTGAGTAGGAGGGAGAAAAAAGTGGCTGTCCAACCTGCACGCTATCTTCTCCACAGCCTGAATTCCTGTCTCCCTGCTCCAAACCACTTGACTTTTAGAAAGAAAGAAAAATAAATTAAAAAAAAAAAAACAAAAACACAGGCAACCCAGCTTACAAATCTTGGAGGTTGGAATTCCAGCCCTGGGGAATCAACTTTTTCTTCCCCTTTCCTCTCTCTTGTAAACAGCCAGGAAAAAAAAATTCTCTTTGAAGTCATTCTGAAATTATCTCAAGCACTCAGGTCAGCAACCCTGTGGTAGAGGAGCAACCGCGGCTGGCACTGGAGGGCTGGCGCAGGGTTCTCAGGCACTGGCACTGAGGACCTGCAGAATCACCTACAGGGTGGCAGGGAGTGTGTGGGAGGGGGTGCTACTGACACATGCAGCAGTGCCAAGGCCCAGGGGTCTATTGATGCTTTTGGACATCGGGGGATTCTACTGGCCTGTCAACCTGAGTTAGGGGCCTCTGACGTTGCTGCAGGGTGCAAGCCCAGCACGCCCCCAGTTCCTGCTGAACAGAAGGGGAGGGAGGCACAGTGTCCCCACCGGTCATCTCTTCTTTGAGGAGTCAGGGTGAGCACTGGAGGAAATAGGAAACATCTGTCAACCCCTTTCCTTCTTGCAAGCCAACTTAGGCATATCCCAGAGGAACATTCCAGAAAGTTCCCCCGAGAACTCCAAAGAATTCGTGTTCCTTCTTCCCTGCTAAGCTGCTTGCCCTAGACACCAAGGATTGGTGCTGGGTCCCACCCCTGTCCATTCTAGATCCTTCTCCCCCAGCTGACTGCTATGTCCTGATGGGCTTTCTCAGAAGATGGGCTGAATAGTAAATACCTCACCACCATCATCCACCTCTCTGGGGGAAGCTCCATTTAGTGGGTATTTAAGTGAAGTATCTGAAGGCCAGAAGGAGTTGTGGTTTTTTAAGTCAATCACAAATGGTTGTAAGTCTGGGTTGCTGTGGGTCTTGAAGTCAGTAAAGGAAAGGGAGAGATGTCCCATGGCTGGCCAGTAAATCTCTCCAGCTGTTGCACTAAATTCAGGGCTAGGTTAGAAAACAAGGAACTAGAGAGACAGAAGGAGATATCCCCATGTGGCTGGGGGCAGGGCGGGGAGAGGGGGAGATGCCCTCCTAGGATCTCTCACTAGTTAGTTCTGGGTCCCAAGTTTGGGGTCCTAAGTGTAGTCTCTCAAACCACAGAAGGAAAGAAGTGGAAAAGCCAGAACTCACATTAAGAAAGATCCCTGTTTTCTTTATCCCTCTGCCCACTCAGTGAGAAAAAAAGACCCTCATTAATTTGAAATGGCGCCAAAAGTCCCTTAGGAGTCACTTGGTCACCAATGGCACACTTATTAACTCATTTAGCTTTTAAAAGAATCAGATATGAAGAAGTTGTTGGCTAGGGATGGAATTCATGGCCTGGTTCTTGCTTAGCCTGCACAAAGCCCTGAGTTCAGCAAATCCCCAGAAACACACACACACACACACACACACACACACACACACACACACTTGCATGCCCATTTTATAGAAGAAGAAACTGAAGCCTTGTCCAGGGGCACCAGCTGCACAGTTGCAGGGATGCAGGAATCAGACTGGTCCTTCCTGGCTTTCTCTGGAGTTAGGCATGGGAAGGGGACAGAGAGGACCTGAGGGACCAGAGGCTGTCATAGGAACATAGTCTTTCTTCTTCATTGCTCAGCATGGACAACTTGCTCTTCTAAACCTGTCACCTAAGGCCATCCAAGCTTCCTTCTGTTTACTTTTGCCTTGTGGTAGACACGGGGACGGCAGATGGTGTCTTCATAATCGTGTTAGCCTTATTTTTAGAATTTTTTTGATCTGCAACGCATTTTAAATTTGCTTATCACACTTGGTTCTGACAACTGTATGAGAAATACAGGGATAAGAAAGGCTCTGTTCTCCCTGCTTTCTAGATAAGGAAAGATTCAGCCAGGGCCATACCAGCCCTAGCTGGGTCCTGAAAGGGTTCAAGACAGACTGGAGTCACTGGGTTCAACCTTCTGCTAACAAAGCAGAGGGACCTCTGATCTCTCTGCTTCCAATATACCCCTAAGCCACAAGGATAAAGTGAGCAGGATGGGCTCTAGTTCTCTAGATCAGGAACAAGAGAAGGAAGAGTGAAGGTCACCCTGCATACCTGGCTCTGACTCCAGGGCAGTATGGCTGTCTGGGTTATTGAGACTAGGGGTGGCCAACTAGACGAGAAATCTGACAAGGAGATTGTCCATCCACAGTGCTGAATAACCCTGCCTAGCGCTGGGAGACAAACCCCAACTCACACCCAGCCCAACTCCCCACAAAGCTACGGGTCCTTAAACCTGTTGCCAGGCATTAGACAAGCCCACCTGGACCAGGCACAACTCCCTCCGTCTCTCTAGTTGTTTTCAAACCCATGTTCCAAATGGTCCATGGCCTCAGCCCTGAGTTACAACCTTACATGAACGGGATATAGGACAAAGAACTGATTCACTTTCAAAATCAAGGCCTCTTTGAGCCAGTGCCTGTGATTCTCAGAGATTTTCCTCTCTAGAACCAGCCTTCTGCTGTGTGATTTCATCTGATCCTCAGGCAAGGAGCCTGGGGACCGGGAGGAGAGGCAGGCACAGGAATCAAGCCCAGATCAACAAAGTTGGAACTGAAATTTGAATTTTCAATTCTCTTAGGAAAAATATTCCAAAATGTAGAGAGGGAATATGGGGTCGGGTAAAGCAACTGCTCATTCTCTCCTGGAAGCTGAAGCTCTGAGTTCTTCACACAGTACAGGACTCTGCGAAGTTCTTGGTCATAGGTAGTCAACAGATGATTGTTGAGCAGGGAGGGATGGGTGGTGAGTTGTGCTTGCAGAGGCATAAGAAAATGTAAACACATTTATGACCCACCTAAAGGGAGTTTCTAATTGGACACAGTTTATATTCTGGAAGGCAGGAGCATAGAACCACTGCTGTGGCTTTGTGGGAGGGAGCATGAGCCATTGGAGTTGATCAGCTGCCAGTCTATCTCTGAGATCTGGTTGTAGAGGCTAGGCTAGCTAGCGCAGAGCATTGGCAGAGAAAGGCTGTGTGGACAGAACTTCCCGCTAGCCAGGAACAGACATGCTCTGTAGGAAGGGGTGTGGCCTGTGGGAAAGCCCTTAGAAATGAACACTCACTCCTTGTGCTTTCTCAGTGCACAGAGCAGCTCCAATTCAGCCCTGAGGGCTGAGAGAAGTGGAGTCGGACAGATCCAAAACACCTAATCCAGGGAGCATTCCTTAGGGTCCTCCTGCAGGCTCTGGGAGGACTAGAATGTAACCAGATTAAATGAACAAATGAGCAGATTGTACAAGTGCCCAAAGGGTCTGGCACAGGAGGCAGGGATAGGACTAAAGCCCATGTCTTAGGCCTGAGAAAGTGAGGGGCTCTGACGGTAGAGACCAGGGCTGCCCAGCCTTGAGACACTGAGGCAGACACCCCAGCACAGACAACCATCCACGCTACTGTGCCTCACAGAGCAGGCTTTGTGGGGTGCTTACTTGCTTAATTTGCCATCCACTGCCTTCTGTGAGCTTTTGGTGACAAAAGAAAGGAAGGAAATAAGAACATCTCAGACTTGGGGCAAGGTTTCTCACAGCAGGAGAGATTTCCTGTGGTTTCCAGGCTTCTGCGAAACAAGAACAATTAGAAAACAAGAGAAAAGAAATCATGGTTGCAAAAATTGGGGCTCTAAAAAAAATGTTCATTTTAGACTATTAATGCTTTCCCTCTTTATTTGTGTCTGATTGTGCTATTTTCAAGATCACAAGCTTTATAGAAATGTTCATTTGTAATTCTTAAGTATAAGTGAATGAAGCTGAGTAATACAGCTCAAATTTAAGTTCTATGATGGGTAGCTTGTCTTTGAGTCCTCAGTCTATAATAGAGATAGAGCCAGAAGGAATCCCAGAGAAATGACTTTCTCAATGCCTTTGGAGAATGTTTTATTGGAAGAGATCCCTTCAGAGGGAAGCGGCGAATCATCAGAGGTAGCTAGATGGCCTCTTTCCCCCTCCTCTACACCCTTCTTCTCCCTCCTTCTTTCCTCCTTCTTTTCCAGACCAATGGATTGTGCCAAGGCTCTCACCCCTGCACTGAGAAGATGTGCAAATAGGAGCTTCTTTATGTGCATAGAGGAGGACTGTTGGTGTCTCTATGCAAGAGTGTGCAGGCCAGGGACAAAGGTGTGTGCACATACGTGTGTGCACATGAGGATGAAGCTCCTGCCCCTGTCCAGGACTCAGCTCTGCTTTCTTTCTTGTGTCTTGTCACATTCAGTGCCTCCTGCATATCTGGCTCAGCTCCTGCAGCTGGCAAGGGGCTTCTGTGCCTTCCTTTGATCAAAGCCAGCCAAAGATGGGTGCTGGACAAGCAAGGGAGGAGTCTGAGCTGATATGGGCCTAATGGGAAGGGGTCTGGATTGGCGGCAAGGTCCTGAGGTAGACCAGGGACATACTCCAGCCCACTCTGGCTCAGAGAACCAAGCGTGCACCTCCAATGTGTCTCAAAGCCCAAGGTGGGAAATAAGATGCGAGGAGAGCCAGGGAGGCCATGTGGGAAGGGGGCTCAGAGTGGGGCACCACCACAGGATGGCAACTCTGGGAAGGGACAGCCACAGGCACTTTTCCTTAGACCCTTCCAAGCCTGGGTTAGAGCAGGAAGCCTGTGACAGTCCACACTCTCCATCTGCAGGCCTGGGTCTATTAATATTTGTCCATTTTCACTTCAACTCCAACCACATGGCTCTATCTATGCAAGTCATTAGAGCCAACCCATAAAGACCATTCAGCTCCATGGTCCAATGGCACTGAGTCTGCCAGGAAGTTCTTCTTGATATCCTACCTCATGCCACCAATTCCAAACGATCTGGAGAACAGCAATAGCAATACCAGGTCAAAGGAAAGTGTCCCCCCCACCCATCTTTCCCTTCCTTTCCTGTTTATTTTCCCAGGAGCTTTCCCATCTGGGAGGAATTCTTGGCATGGCTTGTACTGGCAAAAGCCAGCACTCTCTGAGCCAAGCGCAGAGGGGAGGCCTGGCGCAGGGGCTGGTGAGCAGGGATGGGTGCAGGGTCTCTGAGCACTTCCCTTCTCCCAGCAGCTTGCCTCTAAAAGGGAGGAGTCCTGGGCCTGTGTCCCGGGTCTGCTGTTCAGTGGCTTCCTGGACCTCACAGCCACTTCCGCCTCTAGTCTCAGTTTTTGTAAACAATGGGGTGTGCAGACTTGGTGGGTGGATTTCAAACCATTTATAGCAATGAAACTTTTCTCTCTCCCCACCTCCAATGAATGTCTTGGCTAAATCTCAAGATAGATAGGTAGATGGTACATAGGTGGATAGCAGATTTTTTTAAGCTGCCTAAGGTGGTCCAGGAGGAAGCTGGGGTGTCCCAGAGCCCCCTCCTCAGCCTCCCCTCTCAAGGGGCTCCACAGACCTACAGACACAGTTTGAAGACCACTGCATTGTGGGATTGCAAGGGCCCTTCTAGATGTGCCATCCAGAACTGTCTGCTTCACATACCCCAGCATCTCTAGACGAAAGCAGGGATGGTTTGTTTTCTTGAGTCACAAAGGAGAGACTTGGGGCCTTAGAGATGAAGGGCTTTATCCAACAAGCCTTGGGACCCTGACTCCCAGCCTGCTGCTTCTAGGACACTGGCCTTCCCCCAGAGAGGCTGAACACGTGGCATGGCTGGGCATCCAGCCCTTGCTACTCTGTCCCTGCTCTGCAGACCCCGCACTCTGCCCCTCTTCTCCAGAGCTTGACCTAGCCACAGAGACCTAACATTGATTCCTGAGGCTCAGCAGGCTGGTAACCTCCTGGGTTTCCTCCCTCTAGGTGGATCATGAGGTCATCCCTCTGCTGGCTCCTCCCACTGCTCCTCATCTTGGCCTCAGTGGTCCAAGGTCAGCTAACGAGACAAAAACCCGGGATCAGGCGCAAGCCCAGGCCCAGGCCCACACCCAGCTTTCCTCAGCCCGATGAGCCAGCAGAGCCTACAGACCTGCCTCCCCCACTGCCTCCTGGGCCTCCGTCTGTCTTCCCTGACTGTCCTCGGGAATGCTACTGCCCCCCTGACTTCCCATCGGCCCTTTACTGCGATAGCCGTAACCTGCGCAAAGTCCCCGTCATCCCACCCCGCATCCATTACCTCTACCTCCAGAACAACTTCATCTCTGAGCTCCCCGTGGAGTCCTTCAGGAACGCCACAGGCCTGAGGTGGATCAACCTGGACAATAACCGAATCCGCAAGGTGGACCAGAGGGTGCTGGAGAAGCTCCCTGGCCTGGTGTTCCTCTACATGGAGAAGAACCAGCTGGAAGAGGTGCCCTCGGCCCTGCCCCGGAACCTGGAGCAGCTGAGGCTGAGTCAGAACCACATCTCCAGGATCCCACCCGGTGTCTTCAGCAAGCTGGAAAACCTGCTGCTCCTGGATCTACAGCACAACAAGCTGAGTGATGGCGTCTTCAAGTCAGACACCTTCCAGGGCCTCAAGAACCTCATGCAGCTCAACCTGGCCCACAACATCCTGAGAAAGATGCCACCCAAGGTCCCCTCGGCCATTCACCAGCTCTATCTGGACAGCAACAAGATCGAGACCATCCCTAATGGATACTTCAAGGGCTTCCCCAACCTTGCTTTCATCCGGATGAACTACAACAAGCTGTCAGACAGGGGGCTCCCCAAAAACTCCTTCAACATCTCCAACCTGCTGGTGCTTCACCTGTCCCACAACAAGATCAGCAATGTGCCTGCCATCAACAACAAGCTAGAGCACCTGTACCTCAACAACAACAGCATTGAGAGTGAGTGGGGGCGGGGCCACAGCTGAGGGGGCGTGGTCACAACCGGGGTGGGTGGGACCTCAATGTCACCACCCTTTTTCAGGAGCCTCCCGGTGTGGGCTATAGCAGCTGACTGAACTAGGGGGGGGTGTATCTGGGTGATAGAGCCCTGCCTAGCATGCACAGCACTTTGCTTCCAGCTCCAGCATCCTACACACCCCCAAATCCACTTTGCCTCAGATCTTCACCTTACCAAATTGACAGTGACCTTGGAAAGGTCACTCCTCTGGGAAGTCTTCTCATAGGTAAACTGAAAATAGTAATAATATCTTTTAAGACAAGGTTGCTAGGATCGTTTAACATGAATGAAATGTGCAGAATACCATGCTTGGAGGGCAGTGGCTTTTCTTCCTCCATCCCAGCTTATCAACACCAGCTTCTTTGGCCTCCAGATGTATAGATAGGACGACATAAGAAATACTCCTGCACATTCTCTTACAAGTGGGACAGAGATATCCAAATGTTCGTCCTGGCATGTCTGGGCCTGTCTGCTGCAGGCAGGAAGGGAGTTTCCTCCCCAAAACTGAGGAAACTGGAAAAGTAAAGCAGCTGGAAACAATGTCTGTGTGCAGGTGCTTCCTCAATCTATCTAGAAGGTTGCAGCATTCGGTTGCACAAGATACTGTAGTTAAGGGAGAATTTGCCTAAGCAACATCAACAAGTTACTGGGCATGTGGAATCAGTTACAGACCAGAACGGGAGGCTGGGAGTCTTGATTTTTGCTTCAGTCAAAAACGTCAGCCAGGGTACTCCTCTATGGGGCCCCTGTCTTGGAAGAGTCTTTCACTACTCTCCTCTCACTTTCAGTTAAACTTGTTTTGTTTGCTTTAAAAAAAAAAAAAAAAAAGATAGCCAGGCATGGTGGTACATATCTGCAATCCAGCTGCTTCAGAGGCTCAGACAGGAGAATCTCAGGTTCAAGATTACATAGTAAGACTATGCAATAAAACAAACACAAAACACCCAAGCCCCAAAGTCATCTCTGAGTGGAATATTAGCAGAAAGTTTTGGAAACAAAAGAGTTTAATTCAGTCCTGAACTACAATCATACAAGGTATGAAGCAATTGAGGGGAAAGGGGGCCAAGGAGGACAGAAGAACCCTAAATGGAAAAACGAATTTTACCCTGCAGGTAGATTAAATTCCACAATAAAATGGAACACACTGCCCCTAGGAAGCTGTGTAGGCTGAACACAGACAGAGAGGGTATTTGCATTAATAGCTGGCTGACAGGCCCCTGCCAGACTGTGGAGGATAGCTCAGCTTTCTGAGGCTTAGTCATGCCCTGCTCCACGTGACTACCCCAGCCCCATCCTGTGACACTAACGGACAGGATGGATAAGTGAGACACAGACCAGGCCAGTGTGACAGTTACAGTTCTAGCAATGATCTCAGTGCCGTCACCTATACTGCCCTGTAGAGTTTGAAAAATGCCTTCGCTCACATTCTCATGTCCAGGGCTGACCACATGCTCAGCATTTCACAGAACAAGTGTCAGGGTGGTAAAGCCCAAAGCCACAAAGCCCATGGGAGAAAACTCTGATTGTGCCAGGGCTCTTCCATCCCCCACGGTACAGGAAAATCAGGAGAAGAGGAGGAAGTCGTCGACAACAAATATGACTTCTTCCTTACCCATCTCCCATAGATGATAATCAAGCTGAAGCTCAAGGAGAATGAAGCCCTCTCATACCACCTGAAAACTAATAATGGAGAAAATGGAACCTCGGGTCAAGGACACTTCAGAATCCATAGGCTCATTATCTTCCCAGCCACTTCCCTCCTCCAATCTCACCACCCCCATAAACATAATCCTCTTCCGTCCAGCCTCATGCCTTAGATCCAATCAACAGACACATCTCCAGGAACTGTCCCCATCCACCCACTGGCCTCCCCTCTCACCTCCCTCTGTGGCTTCTCCACTTCTAGCTAGAGTTATCTTCCTAGAGTGTCAGCCTGAACATGAGGACCAGGAAGGGCCTTCCAGATTTAACCCCAGGATGCTATAGCGTAGATCTCTTAACATCTGATTCTCTAGATCATTCTGATCATTTGATCAAATCAACCATATTGATTATTCCCAATGTAAGTCATGCTCCAAATGAGTGCATTGTACCTGGAGATTAGGGAGACCTGTATAGGGTCACACATTCCCAAAGCCAGCCAGTCTGGAGAGGAGAGCTCTAGAGGCCTCACTCCTCATGTCCCCCCACCCCCACCATTCCTCATCAGGGCCTCCCATTCTACTACTGACTTCTTCCTGTCTTTCTCCACAGAAATCAATGGGACACAGATTTGCCCCAACAACCTTGTGGCCTTCCATGACTTCTCCTCGGATCTGGAGAACGTGCCCCACCTGCGCTACCTACGGCTGGATGGGAACTTCCTGAAGCCCCCCATCCCGCTGGACCTCATGATGTGTTTCCGCCTCCTGCAATCCGTGGTCATCTAGGCCTTGCCGTGGGCTGGACCTCCTCTGACCACGCTTGAAGGCTGGTGGCCCAGGCACAGTGCCCACCATTTTCCTCTGCCTCCTCCTCTTGCCCTCAGCTTTGCTTCTTTTCTCTCCTATTTCTGAGGATTGGAAATGTCATGTGCTCTGCTGCAGCTCTGGGGCAAGACTTCTCAAGGCTTCATTTGGCTCCACCCAATTCAAACTCCTCCCCGAACCCTGCACACCCAAACCACTGGTCTTTTGTGGTCTCCTTTCACTCCAGAAACCAGACTCCATGTCCCTTCCCCTCCCCTCTTCCATCCATCACTCCTGAGTAAGGCTGGACCACAGACTGACATCTGATCTTGGTTGGGCCAAGTGAGAAGCAAAGATGGTTCTGGCAGCCTGGAGGTGAGCTTTGGAAAGTCCCACTGGAGATTCTGCTATCTTGGGCAACTCTGCCTCAAAAAAAAGGCTGAGAAACCCAACCAAAGATCCCTTCTTCAAAACTGCTACTCTACCACCCTCTTCCCTGGCTACCAGGCACTGCTCTCTGCCCACCCAGGTTCTCTGGGCAGGAAATAAGGGAATGACTGAGGCAGGGCAGAGGGCCAGGGTGCCGGCAAGCGCTAGCCACTGGCCATCTGTGCCCAGAAATGAGTTAGAAGCCCCTCCTCTGCCTCCAGGATGAATATAGCACACACCCTCCTAGCTGGGCCTCAGAGGAGCCACCGAGGAGAGCTTCTTGAGGATCTAGACTTCAGCTAGAAGGAGAGGGCTGGGGGTCAGAGCCCCAGGATGAGCCCCACGGGGGTGTCAATGAATCCTGTGGCCACTCCTGCCCAACCCCGATAAGTGGCCCGAGGCCCTGGGGAACAGAGTTCACAGGGGAAGGTCAAGAGGAGCCACTCTCCCCTCCCCTTGCCCCATCTGTTCTCTATTAGGGCAGAAGGCCCAGTCATTTCCACCCCTGAGGGAGTGGAGGGTTCTGAGACACTGGGAAGAAGGGGCGGGGCACCTGGAAATCTCCCAGGAGCCTCTGCGGCATTGGAACGCTGCCTCCATCTCGGAGACAGACCCATGAGTGACACCTGGTGGCAGCTGACGGTGGCAGCTGGCTCCAGTCTTCTCGCCTCTTCCTGGCATCTGGTATTCCAAGGTCACAGAGCTGGCAGGTTCCAGCTTGGGAGAGCCAGGGGTGGCATGCTTGGGGCCCCCCCTCCTCTAGTGGGGCTCATTCCCATGGTGAGGGACCACCACTGGGAAACTTTTGGGAGCCCAGTGACCTTGCCAGATCTCTTCTGCTCTTACTTACCACATATGGAAACCCAGGCAAGCCCCACCCCCCTCCCAAGCGGTCCCACACTGTAAAGCGAATCCTAATGCAGGATGCATCCTAACTACTACTACCCTTCCCTTGCAATAATTTATTCTCTATTCCTAACCCAGAGGTGTCCCCATCCTCCTTACCTGGTCCAGGTAGTAGTCGCTTGGCAGGTCTCCTTGCCTTCAGCATCCCCCTTAACTTTCTCCAGAGGATGCTGACCCCCTACTGTCCCCAGAGTATGGGTTTTGGTGAAGAATTTAAGGATCTAGAAGCAAGACATAATATGCACCCTAAAAAGGTAAGCTGAGTGTTTTACAAGAAATTGAGTTAGCCAGGAGCCAGTGGCTCATGCCTGTAATCTAGCTACTCAGAGGACTGAGATCTGAGGATAGAGATTCAAAGCCAGTCTAAGCAGGAAAATCCATGAGATTCTTATCTCCAGTGAAGCAGCAAAAAGAGGGAAGCAGCAGCATGGCTCAAGAGGGAAAGCACCAGCTTTGAGTGAAAAAGCGAAAGAACTAAAAATTAAAATGAAAAGGTAAAAAATAAAAACTGAAATGCTAACAGCACTGACAGACACAAATCCCCTTTACACACAGGCTGGTCTGTGCAGGACCCACTTCCTCACAGCCTCTCCGGCTCCACACCACTTCCCCTCTCTCCCTAGTTGCAGCTGGTTTCTCCAAGGCTCCCGCTTAAAGTCCATTCACCTACATGGCTGTAAGCAACCTGGTGCTATGGCCTGGATAAGCCCCTCTGCACCCTATTCCCTCCTTCCCCCCTCAGCCCCTTTGGTGAGGCCAGGACAAGGGGGAACACTGCTCCCCTGGGGATCCTGGTCTTGTAAACCTAAATTGTTCAGTTTTTAGTAGCTACACCATCCCATCATTCTATAGGCTCATCCTTGGGCCTCTGCTACCAGAAGCATAGCGTTAAGTTAGCCTTGTAGTCCCCACTCCCCCACCTCACACACACGCAGTGTGCTCTCCTGGGTTTAGAAAGTCCCCCCCCCACCCCCGCTTTCCACAAGTTCACTCTCTCAGTGCTATGGGCCTCCGTGTGTGCAGATGTGTAGGAAGTGCGTATGTACACGTATCTGTACATATATCTGTTCTCTCTGGAAGACCATGTTAACTTTGTGAAACAACTTTCACACTTCAACACGCTTCATAGAAGAGGAAATAAAATCAAATGAAAAACACCCTGCTTGAGTTTGGCAGTGTGACCTGGTCAAAAAGAATACCTTAAAAGCCAGGTGCTGGGGACTCACACTTGCAATCCTAGCTATTCAGAAGGCTGAGATCTGAGGGTCATGATTCAAAGCTCACTGGGGAAGACAAATCTGTAAGACTCATATCTCCAGTTAACCACCAAAAAGCCGGAAGTGGAGGTGTAGCTCAAGTGGTTGAGTGCCAGCCTTGAGTGAAAAAAAACTAAGCCTAGAACGTGAGACCCTGCATTCAAGTCCCAGGATAGCACAAGAGGCGGGACAGGGAGGGAGGGCGGGAGGGAGGGAGAGAGGGAGGGAGGGAGGGAAGAAGGAAGGAAGAAAGGAAGGAAGGAGGGAAGGAGGGAGGGAGGAAGGAAGGAGGGAGGGAGGAAGGAAGGGAGAAAATTCCTAGGAAACCTAACCCAGTGCCTTTTCCAAATTTCCCCCAAAATACATAACCCTCATGAAAAGTTAGTGCAGGAAGTCAGTTTGGAAACCAAACAGCTACATTTGTGGCCCCAAAGCCCAGGTTCTTTCAACCTACGGGGAGCAAATGATGGAGACTCTCCCAGTACTCAGTAGAGCAAGGAGAGTGTCCACACCCAAGGGGCATGTGTCCCGGGGCCCTGGGGATGTGTCTCAGGGGTCCTGGGCCTTTTCTTTTCAGGGAACGTGGCTCCCAAGGGGAATCCATGACCTTGCAAGCCTAGGCCATGACTTATAGGATGATGCCTGCCAGGCTGTCTGTCCCCCGAGCCCACATGGCCTGACCAACACCTGCTCAACACCAGTTCAATTCAGCCGTGGTTCAGTGGGCATCGAGGGAGTGCAGGCTCCAAGCTAAGAACTCATAAATGAGCACTATACACCCTGCGCCCGAGGACATCCCCAAAAGAGGAATCTGTGGTGAACTGACATTTCTGCCTTTAGTGTTGGTAATCTAAGCTCCAACAGCGTGGAGCCGCCTCCACGGCGGCTGGGGAGAACTCCAAAGGCACCCGACATCTGAGCAGGCTCTTAGGGATGAAGCACATTTTTTTCCAGGTGGGAAAAAGAAAAAAAAAAATCACACACGTGGAAGGGGAAACAGCACAAGGAAAGGAAGGTATGGGATAGATGTTTGAGGAAGAGCCAAGTTTCCAGTTCCCATCCAGAGTGACCTGGCTACGAGCCCTCAGCTCAGCAGGGAATACACCCCTGTCGTGCAAAATGCAGGAAGGCTCCCACACTTCCATCTGGCCCCTCCCCCTGCCCACCTCGGGGGCAGCAGTAGGATTGGCTGGCCAGACTTCTGTGTACAGCACCTGCCATCTCCTTTCCATCACCATGCCTGTGCCTCTGCTAATGAGACTCTGGGATTAGGCCGCCTCCCACCTGCCCTCCTCCCCCCAGCCAGCAGGGGAACAGCAGCGTGGCATGTCCGAGCGCCCGCCCTGAGGTTCATGTGTGGAAATCAGCGAGCTTGAGACGGTGAGACTAGAAGTTGGGAGAAAGTCTAGGGTGCAGGCCTGCATCAGGTGGTTCCCGGCAGGGATCCCCCTGGTGGAGGGAGGGACCCTCTGCAGGGCTGGGAGGACTGTGGTGGCAGTAGGGATGGCAGGCATGCCAGAGTCATCTGTTCTGGGTCCAGAGACACTGGGTCTCGGAGCTCCCTGGGACCAGGTTGACAAAAGGAGAGCCACAGGAGCCAGGGCAAGCTCTGGGATTTTAAGGGCTCAATTTGGCTCTGTGTGGCCTTGGGCTAGTCTCCTGTTCTCTCTGGGCTTCGTTTTCTCCTCTGTCCAGCAAGGAGTTCTGATGACTGATCTGGAGGGGATCTTTAGAGAGCTTCCTGCACCCGGCTCAGGACCAGCACCCGTGAACCTGAAGATGCCCTCAGATCTTCCGACCCCCCCTGAGCACTTTACACCCCTCAGGCCTTCAGCCCTTCCTGGTGATATTGTTCAATGTGGCTCCTTGGGGGCTGTGGTGATGGCCTGGCTGGCTTGCCTCCTGTCAGCACCTTTTCCTCTTTGGATTCCATCTGTGAAGCCATCCCATTACTCCTGGCCCAGAAGAAAAAGACCAGAAAGGCAACCCAGCCTCATCAGAGAAGGGGGGAGGGAGGGGAGAGAGAGAGAGAGAGAGAGAGAGAGAGAGAGAGAGAGAGAGAGAGAGAGAGAGAGAGAATATACTGGTGGCAGAGCAGGTAGAGGGAGAGAAAGAATTCCTGTTCAGGGCACAAAGGATTAGGGTTGGGGACCCCCTGAGGACATCAGGAGGAAAAGTCTAAGTGGACAGCTCTGCACAGGCCCCACCCCACAGCTGGTGGGCACGCCCTCCTCTGCCCCCAGAGCTGCCAGTCTTTCCCTCAGAGTCCAAGTCTCTCTGGAAGCGAACTCCATTCAGGAGCCCAAAGCATCCAGAAGGGTAAGGCTCAAGGTTGGAGGCCTCAGGCTCGTGGGTATGCACATGAGGGGCCAGGGAGGGGCAGGAGGGAGGACAGGGAGAGCCTCAGACCCTGTCCAGGGATGTTGCAGGAGGCTTGGGGGATGGGCAGTGACTCCTGCCTTGGGAACTGTTTTGAAGGCTATGTAGTTGAGTTTGGAGTGATATGGGTGATTGGTGAAGAAACGCCTCTGGTGACTCCTGGGAGCTGGCACCTTGGCCCAGATGAAGCCACAAAGGGAGTGATCTGGCTTTGGGGAGGGCTGTGGTGGGGTACACACATACCCAGGGGCACCTCAGCACTCCTCCCCCAGCATTCCTTCACACTCACAACCAAGCGCAAAGAACTCCAGTCTCTCCTCGTCTGTGTCTAAGAAGCTGATCTCCCAGTCTAGCTCAGGAAGTAGTTTTTTCCCCTTTTTTTCTTTTAAACCATTGCATGTCAGATTGTGAGCTGTCTCTCCAGCAGGCTGGGTGTTGCTGAGAAGGGTTGTAACTTTTTATTCTTTCTTGTACCTTTTGAGGCAAATCCTATGCCTGGAACGTAATAGACCTCCCTACAGTGTCTGTGAGCAAATGGGTAAGGAAGAGGTCTTTAGGAAAACCCCCACGAGCCTCCTTGATGGTGGGTTTTCTCTAAGTCTAGTTTACTGAGGAACAGCCGTGTTCTGGGTGCGTGGCTGTTGATGACAGGAAGTTTGCTTAAATGCACATTGATCTATGTGCATTTGCCGAGCTTGTCTGTGACCAGTGATCTAGCCTATGCTAGGTGTGTTTCAGGTGCCTGTGTGAGGTAGTACCAACAACACAGGGACACGGCTGGAGATGGCCCTGGCCGCAGCCAGCCTGGAGCTTCAGCACAGGGTAACGATGCCAAGTGGACACATGTGATGAACTCAGAGTGTGCGCAAGCGTGGGAGCGGGGAGGGGGACGTGCCTGTGGGTCGTTCTCAGGAAGCTTCAGCTGCTCTCCTTCTGCCCCGCCCCCACACCCCGGTTCTCACCGCCAGGATCCCATGAAGTTCTGGGCTTTGCCGATTCTGCTGGCCCTGCTGCTCCAGGAAGCAGGGCCAGCTTCTCTCTTGAAGAAGGAGAGGAAGAGGAGGGAAGAGCAGAGCCCTAGAGAAAGCGAGACGTACACACTTCCTCATGTGGGGACCAATGTCCTGAGCCTGGATGACTACCATGAGATCATTGACCTGAGCAGCTACGAGGAGCTCACAGACTACGGCGGGCAGCTCCCTGAGGTGAGGAATACTGCAAACCCATTGCATTCCCTGCAAGAAACAGGGTTTTAGGAGGGCCGGCCATGGTAGCACATGCCTCTAATTCCAAGGACTCAGGAGGTGGAGATCAGAAAGACTGCAGCTCAGACAAGAAGTTATCAAGATCCTTTCTCAACAAAAATGGCAGGCATGGTGGTCCTACTCAATAATTCCAGCTATGCAGGGTTGAATGCAAGACCTCATCTGAAAAATAACTGAAGAAGGAACAGGCTGAGTGCAGCTCAAGTGGCAGAGTGCCTACAGAGCAACAGGAAGGCCTTGAGTTCAAACCCCAGTGCCAGCAAGAAGGAAGGAAGGAAGGAAGGAAGGAAGGAAGGAAGGAAGGAAGGGAAGGCAGGCAGGCAGAGAAAGAGAGGGAGGAAGGGAAAGAGGGAGGGAGAGGGGAAGGGGGAAGGGGGAGGAAGGGAGGGAGGGTAGGAGGGGGAAGTTTGGTGGGACCCCTTCCTTAGGAGTCCCACATCCCCTCCCACGTGCCCTGGGTCTCACTGGGGTGGGGTGAGCAGGGCCCTTGGATTCTCTAAAAGGACACATCTCTGACTTTTCTCAGCCTTTTGCACAGTCTGAAGTTTTCCCAGCACTTCTGGCTTCATAGTGGGCCTGGTAGGGTCCACTAGCCTAGAAGTCTCCAGCTACCTGTGGGCCTGGGAAAGCTGGAGGCCCAGGTTCCACCTCTGCTTGACCCCAGCTGACTGCCTGATCCTCCTCTCTCTCTTCTCTGGGCCTCAGTTTCCTCATATGTGCAGTAAAGATGCTCCACTGGCTGCTCTTAAACTTTTCCTGCCACCCTGCTCCTTCTCATTCTCTGCATGTTCAAACTAGTCTCTTAGATTCCCAGTGGCTGAAGTCACGTCCTTCTGGGGACCAGGCCCCTGACTCTGCTATGTGCTTGCAGGTTGAGCGGAGCAGTATGGCTCCTCCAGCCAGGACCAGCCCCCCACAGAGCTCTATGTCTGCAAGGATACCCTCGCCAAGCCTCCCGGTGACCAGGCCCACCGAGCCAGGCCTGCGGCACTCCCTGACCAGCGTTGGTAAGTGTAAAGTCAACGGAACCCCATAGCCATAGGCCTCAGGCCAAGCAGCCATGACCAGCACTGGAGGCAGTGATACAGTGGAGCATGGTAAGAGCTATGGAGCCTTGAATCCATGCCGGCCCTTCCCAGCTGTGCCAGGAAAGGAGAATGCCACAGTAAACATGAGTGGGGCGGGGGGGGGGGAAGCAAAGTTCAAGGCTGGCTGTCCCCAATACTTTTGTGTGATTGATTGCACAAATTGTATAGGAATCAAAGCAATGCCAGAACTCCCTGGGCCCTAGCAAAGCCACCCTGCCTTAATTAAGAACATCACCCCAGGAGCAGGTGGAGTGGTAATTAGATTAGAGACAATTAAAAGCCTGTAGAGAAGAATAAATAACTTTGTGGCTGTCACTTGGCATGAGGGAACATGGAGCGATCTCACCACCTTCAGCTTCAAATCGACTCCTTCCCGGCGGTCTTTCCTTCTCTCGTGCCTGCTGGGGCCCTGGGACACTGGCATCAGAAACTGGGGCAGAGGAGAGACGCAGATTACCCCGGGCTTGCTGGCACTCAGCACTCCTGTGCTCCTCTGGGATGTTCACCAGAGTGGGCCTGGGGCACAGGAACATGGGCCAGCTCATCGTCAGGGGACCAAGGGCCTTTCAGAGCCATCAGGCCTAAAGCGATTATGAAGGGCTCCTCTGGACTTGTCTTCCAAGACCTCGGAGTAAGAAAGGCTTGAGGGCCCCCAAGACCTACTCCTGCCGTCCCCGCTGACCGAGTACCTCCTGAGTGGTGCTGATACTGGTCTCCAGTAATCCCTGTGCTTTGGGACGGCCGGGATAGAAACTCCGTGCCCCTTTCGGTTGCATGAGCTGGTGAAGTCCTCTCCACTTCTTAGGTTTTTGTTTTCTGGGTTTTTGTTTTTAGACAGCATTTCAATCTGTAGTCCAGGCTGGCCTTGAACTCCCACTCCTCCTGCCGCAGCCTCCTCAAGTGCTGTGATTACAGGCATGCACCACCAAGTCTGGCTAAGCAAGGGCTCTGTCACAGAGCTTCCCTTCCAGTCCTTCCTCTTGACTTCTTGTAGCTGGCCTGAGCTGGATGGTCTGGCCTTGGTTTCATGACCACAGGATGGACTGGGAATAGGAGAGGGCTCTTTCCCAGGGGGGAAATCTCGATATGGATGCCAGTGGAGGTAAGTGAGTGCTGGGCAGGCACCGCCCCCTTCCCGCCCCCCCCCCCCCCCCCCCCGCCAGCTCTGTAATGTCCCTTGGAGCAGCACAAAACATGTCCAACTCCTCTCTCCGACAGCAGCTGGCCAAGGGGTGAACTGGCTATTCCACTAAATTCTGGCTTTTATTTCATCTGCATCCCCCTGGCTGGGAACCAGACAGGAGCCCTGGAGAAAAGACTGAAAAGAGGCCCTAGAAACAGCCACGCAGACCCGGGAAAACCTACAAAGGCTAGGAGTCTGATGGAAGCACAGAGGGGCTTGTACTGAGCGATGACTTGGGAACCCGATTCTCCAAGGCCGATGTATGTGCAGTGGCCCTGCTGGGTGTGTCATGCCAGCCCATTCTGGGCAGCAACCCATAAGCCATTCAGAGGCCCAGACAATCGGGTGCTAATGGCTCACACTGGTAATCCTAGCTACTCAGGAGGCTGAGATCTAAGGATCATGGTTCAAAGCCATCCTGGCAGCAGCAAAATCTGTGAGACTCTTACCTCTAGTTAATCACCAAAAAGCTGGAAATGCAGGTGTGGCTTAAATGGAAGGGCATCAGCCTTGATCAAAAAAGCTAAAGGACAGCATTTCAAGCCCTGAGTTCAGGCCACAGTGTAGGCGCGTGCACGCGCATGTGCACACACACACATACACAGAGGCATAGACAGCCCTGGTTCAGACCTTCCCTGAGGAGAAGTCCACAGGCCACAGAGGCTGATGGGACTCTGACCAGGGGGGTCTCCCTCTATTCTGTCTTCCACCTGGGCCAGGCCTGCCCACCTGCCTGGTCTGTGTGTGCCTCGGGTCCTCCGTGTACTGTGACGATGCCGATCTGGAGGACCTCCCTCCTCTTCCCCGGACCACTGTCTACCTGTACGCCCGCTTCAACCACATCACACGCGTCAGGGCTGGAGACTTCAAAGGGCTGAGTGCGTATTGCCCTGAGCAAAGGGGCAGAGGTGGGGGGGAGGGTGCGCTGGCTCCTCTCCTTTGCCCCTGACCACACAAACAGTGGTCAGACCGGCTACCTGCATGGGGATTCAGCTATTAGCGTGGAGGCTCTCTACCTGTCAGAGGAGCATAAGTCTAGATCTTTCCAAACTCTCTCCTTGAAGAGTTGACCACTATCATAGCTGGTTCTTGTTTATTCTAAGGAAGTCGGATACAATCCAGCCAACATCTGGGGTTGTCCCAGAAACTATAGCTCTTGGGCTACTGGGCAAAAGTGAGAGCATCCTTAATCTGCCCTCCGCCATACAGAGCTGTTTGATTGCTGCTTCATGCCTCATGCTCTGCTGAAGTGCAAGACCTGGTTCTCCTCCATCATCCAGCACTAGTTGCCCACAGCCTTTCTGGGCCTCAATGCCCGGGGCTGTATGGGGTGGGGAAGCCGGGGGATCCAGAGACACCTGGGTTTGCTGGTTCTTGCCCTGGAGAAGCTTCTTCTAATTGGAAAGTCACGGCCCAGCCAGAATGCCTAGGGAAGGTGCTAAGGAGTCCAAGGGTTGTTTCAAGGAATCTGGGTTCAGGCTGCTATTTCTTCTTGTTGGACCTAAGGTGGGGCTGCTCAGAACCCCACCCCCCATCTTGGGACAGTGGAGCAGGGCACACAGGCAGGTCCAACAGGGGCAAGCAAGCAGTGCATGCCAGTCCATGCCAGCTCTCTGCTCTTCCCCCACGTTTCTCAGCGAAACTGAAAAGGATTGATCTCTCCAGCAACCTCATCTCCTCCATCGACGCCGACGCCCTCCACCTGATGCCCACGCTGCAGGACCTGATTCTGTCCGAGAACCAGCTGGCAGCCCTGCCTCGGCTACCCAGGGGCATCGAGCTCCTGGATGCGCGTAGGAACAGGCTCCGGAGCTCGGGGATACAGCCTGAGGCATTTGGGGTGAGCTGGGTCTTCCATCCACCATGGACTACCTGCTCCCCCACACCGGGTCCTCTGGGTATCCCTGCTCTACCTGTGTTCTGGGGCTCAAAGATCAATGCCCATTTTTTCATTCTTTTCTAGACGATGCTGGTGTTTTACAGCATGTGGTCTCCACACCCTTCTTAAAGGGGAAAAGCAGTCAGGCCCGTTTCTGGGAATCAGGGGTGAGGGAGCAATTCTTCTCCCCCTTCCCTCCCCCTTCCCTCCCTCTTCTTCTTCCATTTCCTTCCCCTCCTCCTCCTCCTCTCCCTCCCACCTCTCTCTCTCTCTCTCCCTCTGTAGATACCTGGGGCTTGTCCTCAGCACGCCTGCCCATTCTCCCCAAAAACATTGGCTTACCCAGAGCTTTGACTACCCTCAACATATTCTTTTCCTTCCGAAATCCATGCCGGAGTGACTCATCCTTGTCTGTCTATGATTAAGTTCTCTCAGTCTGACGGGTTGTTGACGGGCCAGTTTTGATGGCAAGGTTGAATGACACAAGTATGGTCCCATGGGGCTGCCCGTTCAACCAAGCTAAGACGCACAGGGTAGTCCTCCTGACCCCAGCATGCGCGCCCAAGTGTTAAGATCGGCCTTCCCAAGCCAGCTTGCCCTCTAGCCTCAGCATCTCCAGTTAGTGTCACTGCCAGGTTCAGTCACAGTACAGTGTCGCAAGCTGGGTGTCATCTCACGCCTATAATCCTAGCTACTCAGGAGGCTGAGATCTGAGGATCATGGTGTGAAGACAGCCCAAATTCAATAGACAGACAAATTCAATAGACTTTTATTTTCTTTCTTTCTTTTTTGTTTTTTTTTGGGGGGGGAGGGTTTTTTTGGTTATGGGGCTTGAACTCTGGGCCTGGGCGCCATCCCTCAGCTCTTCAGCCCAAGGCAAGTGCTCTACCACTTGAGCCATAGTGTCACTTCCAGTTTTCTGGGTGGTTAATGGGAGATAAAAGTCTCACAGAACTTTCCTGCCCAGACTGGCTTTGAACTACAATGTCCGGCACCACGCTCAATAGACTCTTATTTTCAATTTAACCAGCAAAAAGCCAGAAGAGGTGGGTGTGGAAATGAGAGTCTCACAGACTTTTCTGCCCAGGCTAACTTTGGACCTCAATCCTCAGATATTAGCCTTAGGATTACAGGCGTGAGCCACCAGTGCCCACCACTCTCTCAGGTGTGTGTGCAGTGGTCCTGAGTTGGGGAACCCAGTGTAGTGTCCGTAGCACTGTGGAGGTGGACGCCCAAGCCTGGCTGTGGGCTCTCTGGCCTCAGCCTTCCCACCTTGAGGTGAAGAGCTAGGATTACCAGATAGCTGATCTCCCAGCGGCTCAGCCCCAGAGACACCCTGGCCCTTTCCATATTAGGATGTGTGTCTATGTCTGGACTCAGGGTGTTTTTCCTCAGCCCAGATAAGGCAGGGGCTTTGGAGACAGAGGCTGCTGGGCTGGAGGCAGAGTCACAGATCTGATCTTGTTTCCTCTTCTGTAAAGCAAGAGAGGTAATGCCTACTTGACACAGTTGCTGCAAGATTAAACAGTGCTGGGACATGCCCTAGAAGCAGACACTCTATGAATGGTCATTCTCTATTTTCTTTGTTGGTCAGGGCCTAGGCACCGTCCCTGAGCTTTTTCACTCAAGGCTAGTGCTCTACCACTTTGAGCCACAGTGCCACTTCCAGAGGTAGTTGGAGATAAGAATCTCTTTCCTGCCCTGGCTGGTTTTGAGCTACGATCCTCAGATCTCAGCCTCCTAAGTAGCTAGGATTACAGGTGTGAGCCACCAGCACCTGGCTTGATTTTTTTTTAACCTTTACCAGATTCGAGTAGTGCTATCACACTGGCCTGCTCAGTCTGTCTCTGAGTGATTTGGACCTCATTCTGTTGGTCTAATATTTCCTAGGTGAGCTCTGTGAATGCTCAAGCTTAGCACTGGAAGATTTCTAACGGCAGAGAAGTTGAGGCTGAGCTGCAACGTCCCCTGTTCCTCCCGTCTACCCCAGCCATTATCATGCTCTCCTCTGCCCCTCCCAGCCAACCTACCCCACATGTTTGCACTCAGTGGCAGCGACTTTCCTTTGGCATCTAATTGGAGTCAGTGTATGTAAGCTCCTTAAATAATAGCATCCTGAGCCAGGCACTGAGGTGCATGTCCATAATTTCAGCACTCAAGTGGTGGAGGTATGAGGATCACAAGTTCAAGGCCAGCCTGGGTTACATAGACAATTTCAGGCCAGCTGTGTATGGCAAGACCCTGTCTCAATAAATAAATACATCAGTATCCTCCACAGCACCAGCACAGGGTAGAGCACCCTGAATGAACGAATGGTGCCACCTTTAGCATTGTCCTCATGGGCACCTCCTCAGTGCAAGAGTCCTCCAGGATCTACTCACCCCCCTATCCTCTCCCTGTCTCCAAAGGCGCTGGAGCGGCTGCAGTTCCTCTACCTGGCAGACAACCTCCTGGATGCCATCCCGGGGCCTCTGCCTCTGAGCCTGCGCTCTCTGCACCTGCAGGTGAGGTGCCCAGGCTAGAGCAGGGGAGGAAAGCAGGTGGGGAGGGGCAGCCCTTCCTGGTAGCTGGGGTGTATAGGAGTTGAGACCTGTCCAGATGGCTCTCCGTGGCTCCAGTTCCATTTTCTCCAGTTCTGTTTTTCAAACCCTTCTTCTCCCTCTGCATTGTATTTCTGCACACTCACCAGCTTCCTCTCCCCACACCCGTTCTCTCTTGTGCTCCCCTCTTTCCTCCTTTGTGTCTCTCTCCCCAGCAGGGCCTCCATCTCTTCCTCTCTCCCCTTCTTCCCTCCATCCCTCCTAATCTCTTCCCTTTCTGTTCCCCATCCTCCGTGGCATTGTCTTCTGGTCCCTGGGTGTCTGGGGCTCTGTGCACTTCCCTGTTTCCTCCAGCTTCCCAGGAAAGGCAGGGCTGGTGGCAATGACTATGTGCCGTGGGTGCTGCCCCAGGGCACAGCCTTGCATTGGGCCTCACCTGCTCACGTTCCTTCCAGAATAACAAGATAGAGACCATGCAGAGAGACGCCTTCTGTGATCCTGCGGAGCACAGACACACCCGCAGGCTTCTGGAGGACATCCGCCTGGACCGCAACCCCATCAACCTGAGCCTCTTCCCAGACGCCTACTTCTGCCTGCCACGGCTCCCCGTCGGCCGCTTCACCTAGAGTGGCTAACGTTACCTAGCTGCCACCGCCCTCTTGTCCAGGCAGAGCCCAGGGAACCAGCGTCTCAATAGCAGTCTTCAGCTCAAGCACTAGTAGATAGGCTTGTGATCTAGTCATCACACACACTCACATACACACACACACATACACACACACACTCAAGATGCATTTCCTCCTCCTCTTCCCTTAACACCTCTGGCTCCTGGCTCTGAGAACAGAAGTAGCAGCAGAGCTCTTTCCCACATTCCCATCTCTCCTAAGGGCACAGAATGCCAGGAAAGCTGAGCATGAGGAGGGGGAAGGGAGAGAGGAAGGACAAGGAGGCTGGGGAAGAAGCAGGGCTGGAGGGGCAGGGGAAAGGAGGGAATCAGCCCTGGCACTAGCAAGAGCTGATCATCACATTTTCTGGAATTGTCTATTGTTAAATATAGCCATTATGAAAAAAAAATCAAAGGATATATCCTCGCAATTAAATGTATTGTGTTGAAAACAAATGTAATAAACACTCCAAATGTATCAGTTCTCAATCATTTTACTGTATTTTGTTATTAATCAGGTTCTTCCATTTTGTTTGGTACCAGTACGGGGGCTTGAACTCAGGGTCTGGGAGCTGTCCCTTAGTGTTTCTGCTCAAGGCTGGTATGATACCACTTGAGCCATAGCTCCACTTCTGGCTTTTGGTGATTAACTGGAAATAAGAGTCTCAAGGATTTTCCTGCCTAGGCTGGCTTAAAAATACAATCCTCGTATCTCAGCCTCCTGAGAAACTGGTATTACAGGCCAACACTGGTGACGGGGTTTTTGAAGGTATTATATCCAAGTGGCATGTGCTACTAGTTACCTCTTCTCAGCCCCTCCTTCTGTGGCATCCCACTGGTAGTTTGAAATCGGCCCTGGTGGGAGATTTATACCATGGGAATCCACAAATTCTATAAATTGGTTTTTCTGGAGAGTTGGTCGTTAAAATCTTGCCAGCATACCAATGAGGAGAAAAGCTAGCTATATAAACTAGCCCTCCTTCACGCCTTGGATACCTCCTGAAGGAAAGTAGGGTTTCCATAGGGTGTTAACAAATTCTTTGCTTTTCCTTGGCCTGGACCTCCCATTCATTTTCAGGGAGCCATGCAGAAGGAGGAAGAATAGTTCTGAATCCTTACCTAGTCTCCTTCTGAGTAGGGCTGAACTCTTTCCTGGTTCTTGCATGGGTCTATCATAGTCCCTGATTCTGGTTCCCTAGGTTTTCTTCCCATTCTTTCTTACATGTTCAGCCAGCAGAGGGCAGCCTTGTGCAAAGATAAATAAATAAATATTGCCTTTACCCACCTGCAGTCTTTGGATACTGGGCGGGGCCTGCTGTGTTGGGAGGATGGTAAGAAGAACTACTATTGTTCGGCTGACTTGATCTGTGAATGGTTAGGAAATAGCAACGCATGGATGAGACACAAGGCAGACGATGCCTCTGCTCATCCAGCAGGGATTTTGTGGAGCACTTGCCCTGCCATATGCCAGGCACTGTGTTGCTGTAATAATATGGTATGCAATGAATACATACTTTGTCCTTGAGGAGTTCAGAACCCAGTGTAGAAGACAAGTGTTGACAAATCACCACAGAAATAACCATAACATTCTGTGTATAAAGGGAATGAATACACAGACAGCCACAGGAGTGTGCAGGGGGGTAACCAAGCATCGGGGTCTGGAAGACCTCCCTGTAGAACTGACATTGAAGCCAAAACCAAAGATGGAGTACAACTAAGCCACGCCATGGGTTGCCTAGGCAACCACTCAGGATCCCAGGTGATCCTAGAGTTGGAAGGGACAGGTGTTTCTTGTGGCCCCATTTCCCTGCCTCCCTCCACCCCAATCTAGCACCTCACCAAGCACTTTAGATTCTCACACAGTCCTATAAAAAAAAGTCCTGTAGAAAAGCCACTCACCCAGCTCACAAGGCTGACTGAAGCGTGGACCAAGGCTTAGGAGGTCTTAGAGGTGCTGTGAGGTACCTGGCTGGGTGCCTGCTTCTCTCCTGAGACCCAAGAATTCCAGTGCACCTCACCCAGGGAAGACCAGAGAAGGCAAGGGACCAGTAGCACTCTGGTTCCCAAAGAGTTTGTGACAGCAGAATCTGCAGGTCTGTGTGTGTGTGTGTGTGTGTGTGTGTGTGTGTGCGCACGCGCGTGTGCGCACATGCACGTGTGTGCGTGAACACGTGCACGCCTACAAGCATACACAAGCATGTGCATCTCTCTGTCTCTCATCAGTGGAGGAGAGACATCTCATTCCTGTCCATACTCCATATCCCCTACCATAATCCCGTTTTATTACATGGTGGGAAGACAATGTATGCAACAGCTGGAAGTTTTAAGATCTCTCACTGCAGAGACCCTACATTGAAGGATCTCTACATATGAGATTTTTTCCACAACTGGGGTTTCTGGGTACAGAACACCACACATGCCCATGGTGACTGCATTCCTCCAAAATGTCCCCAGGGCCCTGTTCTGTTGTGGGCGGAGGGGCTGGGTCATTCCTGGGCTCTTGGAGTTTTTGACATGCTGTCATGGTGTGCTTTGCCTCATTCAGGCCCAAGGACAACCCTGGACAGTAAGGGACATTCTTGTCCAGCTCCCTGCTATAGAGAAGAGGAAGTAAGTTTTGGAAGGAAATGGCCCATATTCAAGGCGGCAGAGCTGAGACTCAAACAGACCCAGGATCCAAGGTCCTGCTTTTCCAGCACACGTGCGTGGGGCCATAGCAGTCAAGGGCAATCAGGAGGCAGGCTCCGCGCCTGCGCGGCAGGCCAACCTGCACCCACCGGCGGGATTTCCCCAGGGTCCCGCCTCTGCAGCTGTCTCCTGAGGAAAACCCCATTTTTGGCTAGGGAAGCCCAGGCACACAGAAAGAATGCCCTTGTTGGCTGGCTCCCTAAAGAAATTCTAAACGGAGCATCTGTCCCTCGGCTGCAAGGAAAGGGTTGGAGATCAACTTGTGTACCCAGCAGCTGTTACTTCTCAGTCTTCTCTAAAGGAGGAAGGCTGGCGATGCTGGTGGATGGGCAGGAGTTAGGTTGGGCTGCGGTGGGGAGGGGGAGGGGAGCAGCAGAGTGAGCCCCCCCACCCCAGCTGAAGAATGGAAAGCTATTGCGAATGGTCCAGAGGGAGTATGCCAGCCATCCCTGAGTCTGAGGAGGGGATGAGGGCGTCCCTTCAGGCCATCTCTGAGCTCAAATCAGGGAGCCACTACTCTTCGATTAAGACCCACCTCTTCTAGGGGCTGAATGCCCCTCACCTCACCCCTGCAGCTCCTTACGGGCCTTGGCACCTGGGAAGGTAGTTATGGCCTAGGCCTGGAAGGAGGGCAGCAGCTCCCTCCTCAGGAGACCTCCTTTTGGAGACCCCCTCACCACCATGAAAGCCACCTCCCCTCTGTCTCGGAATATCTGAGGGAGAGAGAAGAGACCCGGCCCCACTTCTCAGAGGTAGAGCTCGGGGGCCTGCACCTGCGTCCCTGGTCCTCAGCACATAGTCTTCGATTTCCTGGAAGCCAGTCCCAGGGCAGAGGAGAGAAGGGAATGGCTGTGAGGGGCTGGAGACAAATCCATGAGAGGAGCCAGGAGATTCCCTCCCCCTGACCTGGCCTGAACTTCCTTCCTGCTTTCCTCTAGTTACCCCCCAACACAGGAATCTTTTTTCATTATCTTGCAAATGTACACTTTACAACGATCTTTTTTATGTAATCCAATAACTGTGAGTGCATAATTATCCCAGAGTAGAGGAATTATCCCCATTTTATAGATTAAAAAAATGGGAGGTTAAATTCGTTGTCCCAGAGAAAGATGACAAACGGCATATAACAACAAATAGGAAGCTTGACATGATGGTACATGCCTTTAATCTCAGCAACTGGGAGACTGAAGCAGGAGGATTGCGAGTTCTAAGGCCACTTGGACTACCTAGCAAGAACGGTCTCCAAAACCCCAAAGTGAAACAAAAAGAACAGTGGGAATTGTGGGGGAAGCATCCTCCCTCTGCAAGGAAGGGGCTGGAGATCAACTTTGCAGCCAGCAGCTGTTACTTCTCAGTCTTCAGGAGTGTCCTCAGGGAGCATGCATGATAATGAGGAATCTGGGCTCCAGAGGACCCTGAGGTCCAAAGACAAGCGGCCCTATGCCATCCCACCAGGACAAGCCTGTGTCTGCATCCTCCTAGCCAGAAGCAGCCAGACGAGGTGCCCGGCTCGGCCCCGCCCCCTCCTGTCTGCATGCTCTCCGCAGTCTCCTTCCTCCTGCCTGCTCCCACCCCAGACACCAGCTCTACACCGCTTCTCCTCTGTCAAGGTCATCTCCCAGCCTGGCCAGCTACCTTGCCTGTCTCCCCCAGGCCTGTCTCCTGCGACGATCTCCACACAGAGAGGATGCCTGCCTATTCCTCTTCTCCACCATCCCCTGAGCAACAAAGAAGCCTCCTTTCTGCCTCACACTCAGGCCTCCTCCACACTGCAGCCCTTCCACATGTGGCCACATCCATGACCCTGCATGGTGCGGGCACACACACACACACACACACCTGCCTCTGCTCTCTCTGCTGCTCGGGCATGGGAACATACAGCTTTTAGCCTCCTCCTGGCACCACCAGTCCAGCCTCATTTGCAGACTCTTACCCTCCTGCTAGAGTCACAGTTGTGATCCGGGAGGGAGGAGAAGAGCTTCAGGCTGTGGCTTCCCGCAAAGGCCCTAGTAAACAAGGCACTGAGTGCTGAGATACAGTCCCCAGGCCTGAGTTTACACCTATACCTTCTCCTGGGACATGTCATAGATGGCAACTTCTCCCATCCTCCACCTGGAGTAGGGGGAATTCCACAGACCCAGTCTGCTGCTTATGGCCCAGCCCCAGGGGCCACGCCTCTCCCTGCCCTGCCAGAATCTGAGAAGAAAAGCCAGCCCCTCTCTATGTCCCCTGTAGCCCCATCCCAGAGGTGTCTGATGGATGAGAAGAACAAAAGGAAGGAAATGTAGAAACCAGCGGC